AGCTGTGAGAAATAACTTATCACCTACAAGTCACCCAGGGCTGTGTTTCAGTTGTTAGATGGGACTCAGGATATGTTAGTGTTCTATAGTTGTTCTTTCCAAATGTATCTCCATTTCCCAACTTCTTAAAACAGCTTCAGAACCTGGACCCGTCTGCAGTTCTTGATCTTCCTCTCCCCTGTGCCTACTTTTCTGCCTACAATTTTCCAATAAACATCACCTTCATGGTCACCTCGTTCATAGTTTCTCATCTACTTCATGTCTGCTAGCTGATTTCTATTTTAGTCTTTATTACCTCTCCCCATCTGCACACCTGTGCTGAAATATTTCCCCCAAACGTGATGAACAAATCCTGAAGTTTTCCATTGCCTTCAGAATAAAACTCCTGTCTTTCTGTAGAGTTTGCGAAAACTCTTATCTTGCCTCCTCTATTTTTCCTGTGTGGTCTCATGTTACCCCCTACCCTCAACGCCATATCTATGTTGAGGATTCTGGGGACTGACTGATTAAAATGTCCTTGATTATGGAGGGGTGGAATGTTACAGACTCAGAAATAAAATGAGCTTGGGCTGTCTTTATTCCCCTTAGTAGCAGTAGCCATTTACACCTATGTTCACATCTGATCTAACATTCCCTTTTATTACCAGGTGAGATCTTTGGAATGTATTAACTTAGCAGAACACCCACATTTACTGACCCAAAGGCTAAGAAAGTCATAACATCTTAGATATATAGGCAGAGACTTCTCTGCTTAGCTGTAACCCATCTAGCTGATGTCCTCAACAGTAAGTCTGGAAAGTGCATTCATTTGTGACTTTTTGTCCTGGGACCCTGTGACTATGAAAAAGTCACATTCATAGTCATCTCATTCATGGTGGGACATGTCATTTTGTTGTAGTCTGAATTGGTGTTCACAGACCATGATCACTTATATTTGAACACAATAAATTGTCTTATTTTTTCTGGAATGGAAGCTGTGTTTTGCACTTGTCACAGCCCCTCCCTGCACCATCTTAGCTTTCACAATACCTGTTTATCCTACAGCTCCAGGCAAGTGAGACACTAAGTCCATGTTCTCTCTCTCTCTCTCTCTCTCTCTCTCTCTCTCTCTCTCTCTCTCTCTCTCTCTCTCTCTCTCTCTCCCTCCGTCTCCTCCTTCTATCCCTTCCTTCCTGTTTGAAACACACTCCTGTTTCTTAGCTGGACTGTTCCTACTGATTCTTTGGGGCTTGTCTTGAGCTTTCTATCCAAAGAGCAACACCTCCTGGTTGGCCAGGTTGAGAGGAGCACTCAGCGCTTCTAATTTGGCATAGCCTCATTTCTGTTTTGAATGCATCTTTCTCTACATTTGATCTTCTTGGGGTGGGGACAGTGCTTCTCACCTCGGCTCACTAGCTATAAGTACTATGGATCTGCAGACACATGCATAACAACAAATGCCAAGAGCAGTGTCAGGTGGTTGCTGACAAATCAAGATCAAGGTTCCAGAAGTGAGGCACAGCAAGGTGAAAGGCCTCTCCTCTTGCTGGTGGGAGTATAAAATGCTGTAGAAGATGAGAGTTTCTAAAAGGTGGAGTTAGCATATGACTCAGCAACTATAGTCTATGTCCAGTATCTGTCCAGGAGGTAATGGTCGACACAGTGCTTCTGGAAGACCATCCATAGGAGTATTATTCATGTAAGTGGACTCAGGAAACACTATGCTAAGTGACAGAGACCAGGCACAAAAGGTCACACTTCATATGTATAAGACATGTCCAGAGGAAGCACGTGTACATGACAGAAAGTGGATTAATGTTGCCTAGGGCTGAGGTGAGTTGTGAAGAGATGGAGGAAGGGATGACAGCTGAAGTGCATGGGGTTTCCTTTGTAAGTTATGAAAATAGTTTAAAGTTGATCACAGTGATGAGTTCTTAAGTGTGAGCATATTGAAAATTTAAAGTTAAAAATACACAGATTACTATGAGGAATTTCAAAGGTGAGATTCTGATAACTGATAAACAGTGATTTGAAAAGTGGAATGGTGTGCTGTAGGGGATGGTCATTCTGTTGGGCAAATTTAGCTTTCCATCTTGCTCTACAGCATGTTAAATGACCTTTCTGAGTTTGTATTCCTATTTGAAGTGATTAAATTAATATACCTAGATTGTAGATTTATTGTACAAACTAAGAGAATATAATTTTATTCTATTTTGTCCAGTGCTATAAGCATACAGAATACTCTATGGATGTTAGTATCATTACTCTTAAGTACATGTAATACTGAATTTTGGATTAGGTGGGACAAAGTAAGTATATAGATATTTATATGGAAAGCCAAAGTCATTAGAGTGTCAGACACAAAAAGAGAAGAGACAAGCTGACACAGAGGTACTGATAACAGTTTAAGAAATGCTTATAGAATGCTTTTCCCTTTCTAACCACTAGACTGTCCAATCTACAAGGAGAAATGGGAAGCAGCTTGCTGGATGTACAAATAAGAGGTGGCCCTTGACTTCTTGTTGCTCAACAGAGAGTAAAAAAAATATATGTGTAAGAAAGCATCAAATTCCAGTATCAGAAATACACTTGTTTGTGTAAAGAATGGAGTGGGATAGAAAAAGGGCCAGAAGAGGTGATCTGCTCTGTATTACTGCACTGTAATACTGATCTGCTGGACATTACAATTGTTCACTAATGACTTCAAGTTTCTCAGCTCAGTGGGGGCTTGTCAGCTGTTGATACTTCCCACTTTGAGTTTAGAGATTATATATAGTTCAGTCAATTTTGTTCAGTGGAAGAGAGAAAAGCAATTCCCAAGATGTTTAAGAATGCCCTTTATATGATGAATAGACACAGTCCAGAGACTCACTCTCAAAGACCCAGAGTACGAGACAGTAAAACATCTTGAATGTATCTGGTTCACTCCCAGACTGTCACCATTTGACTAGTCCCAAGTAAATGGTATACATTTAATAAGTATGGTTAAGTGAATGTTGTCCAAACCATCTGTGTGCTACCTTCCACATAACAGGCACAGCACTCTACACAACCACCCTCTCCTTCAAATAAAAATCTATCAAGTATGTGTGCATTCCCTTCAGGAGAAGCTGTTGACTGAAGGCTTTGAGATAAGGATGTCACCATTCAGCTGTCTTTATTAGAGTATGGCTGAACCGCTATGACAGACTGGAGAGCACAGTAACTACAGTCCTAGGGCAGAGATTTTCAAAATACACAGCAGTCTAGATAAGCTTTTAGCATAGGCACGTCCAGGAACTTAGGAGTTCTGCTAAGCCATTAGGATCAGATGTCACACCAAACGTTTCATGAGCCTGTCATACAGCCAGGTGCTTTATTCAGTTCTCATTTTTAGTTGCTTGTAAGTGGTGAAGGGATTAGAAGGGTCTTCTTATGGCAGATTCGAGTTCTGAACAGGAGAAACATTCTGATTTGGTAGGTGGTTGTATGGGTCTCTCACTTAGTTAGAATGAGAACTTTAAATAGGAGGTAGCTCTTGAGGAAGGCCAGGAAAAGCGTAAGCCAAAGTCAATCTACTGCAGAGTGCAATTATCTGAGGATCACCCAAGTAGGAGGCTCTTCTCGTGGCCTAGTCTGCTGAATCCCTGATAGGAGGAACATTTGGTGGACGGTTTTGTTTTAAATGGAGCAACCATTCAGGACAAAAGATAAGGCATGATGCAGTTTCTGAGGATAGTCAGGGCAGTGCAAATCAGGTCAGTCCATTTCACAGGTCCCTCTTCTCCTCAGATGAGGTTCAGCCTGTCTCATCCTGGGGTCATGTGATGCGCCCAGGGTGACTGGAGCGCCGCGCGCAGGCCTGGGCGGGCCTTGGTGGAAATCAACTTCCGGTGAGGAGGTCCTGGACGCTGGGTGGTGCGTGGGCAGCCCCAACTTGAATACCTGGGTACGCAGTCACCTGGAGGGGGGTGCTGGCCCGTGTCCTGGTGCTCGAGTCTGAGAGCGGGGTGTGGCGCGCAGCAGCGCGGGGAGCACTGTGGCGGCGGCAGGAGCAGGTAAATGAGTGCTCGCCATCAGGGTCCAGGTCTCGGCCGCATGCGGGGCGTTCTCGAGTGGGAACGGCAGAGATGCCGCCAGCCCCGAGGCCTCGGCCGGGCGATCCATGGGACCTGGGGTCGGGAGGCGTCCAGCTGCCGCCCTCGCCTGTATGGACCTGCACCTGCCTGGTCCCGAGTGGAGAGGGAAGTTCGCGTGCTGGCCGCGCCGCGGTTGTAGCTCCGGCGGAACGGAAGTGCTGAGGCGGCTTCGGTTCCCGCCGGCGCCGAGCGGCGCACCCTTCCGGTCTCAGCTTTTTGGGAAACCGCGCTGCTGGCGTGCATCCTGGGAGTCCTCCGGGAGAGCCGATCACGTGACACACCCAAACCCGCGTTTCGGGTTCCCACCCGAGACAGGCACCTTGCGGAGTGCGCGACCTCTGTATCCCCCATTGGATGCACCGTCTGCGCGGCCGCTTCCTCCGGAGGAAGCTTTGCACTCGAGTCGTCTGCTTCTCCAGCAGCGCCGGGCTGTTGCGGCCGCAGTGCTCTTGAACCCTCAGCGCGCTGGGGACCTGAAGGCTTTGGGCTCAGCCGAGGTGCCTCAGTGCCCCACCCCCACCCCCACGAATCCCGACTTCTTCCATTGTGCGCACACGGACATATCGTCCGCCCCTAATCTTTACCGCCCGGATCGGTGGATGGCTCAGGAACACGTTTGCATGCTGTGTAGTTGAGGGATTACCGTCTTGTTACTGGGTGGGCCAACAATCACCTCACCTCAAGATTTATGGCAAAAGCTTGCAGAGGCGTGACAGCCACCGATGAGAATTGCAGAGCCTCGTACTTGTGGTCCTCTCAGCCACACTTTCTGTTGCTTTGGGGTTGTCTCTTCCACACCTGTTGGGATAAATGGCCCATGGAAGATGCTGGTACCGCTTCTTCTTCTTGGTGCAGTGCTATAGTTGTGGAGAATTGCCCGGTGAGGAAGTTTGGTGTCCCCCAGGATGGCTAGGAGGCGTTTCCGTGGCCTGGGAAATGTGAACTGGTTGCCTAGCAACAGCATAATCCAAATGAAATAAACATAAAACAAAATGAGAAAGTTAAGTCGTACCTCTTTTATGAAATGGAAAAATCTATCGTCTTAATGGGTAATTAGCCCAGGAATTTTGAGTTTTTAAGAAAAATTTTAATCTTAATACTTCACAGAAAAAGGAAACTGCTTGGAAAATCAGAGAAACATTGTTCTTTTGTCTGTGTGTGTGGCAGTGAAAGAAGAGACAATCACTAATTAACTTGTCTCAAGCTTGAATGGGCAGACAAGAATTTGCCTAATGGGTCACTTTATATTGAACACCCAGCTACTGTCAAATTTGTAAATTATATAGAATTTTTATGAATAAAGAAAACTTTGAAGGGGCTCTATCTTGATGACACAGCCAAATGGGAATGGATTGAGGTGGGTGAGATGTTTCTATTTATGAAAAAGGAGGAAAAAGTAAATTCTAAGGTTCACACTGGCAACCTGTTCCTTATAAATTTCCATTAAGTTTTCTCGTTTCTTGTACAATGTAAACTTTTGAAAGGCCACTCTGTATCAATGTGTATCTATTTCTTAGTAATGATACCTTTTGCTTATAGATTTGGTAACATTTTAGGGGTTTGGTTTCTCTGTGTGTCTCCTTTCTTACTCCAGTTTCCAGTAACTTGGTTTATTTGACTTGGATTTAGGCACATTTTCTCATAGGACATTTCTTTCACATTTTAGTTTATGGCAAACCTTCCACTAACTAAACTAGTGTGTCTTTGTATACACTCTGACAAATGCCTGGTCATATAACATCACCAGTTTGCTCATTGGCATCATCCTGGATAGCTACAGATTTTTTTTCTCTGTCCCTTTTTCCCTTTTCTGGAATTGTGTAAGTGGAATGGTACAGTGCAAACCATTGCACCAACAGTCTTTCCCTGAATGCTTTTCTGGCTCATCCGTTTGGTGCCTGTAACCAGCACGTCATGCCGCCTTTAAAAAGAGGAGTGGTATTTCCTTATGTGAGTAGGCCACAGTAGTTGGTGGACATTTAGGTTGTTTTTAAGTTTTGTATTTTGGAATGAAGCTTCTTTAAAAAAGCACTTTGAGGTATATTCATATTTAAGTCTTAAGAGACATTAGTTTTCATTTCCTTTGGTTAAATACTGAGATGTGGAATGCTGGGCCAGGTGGCAGGTGCATGGTGAACGTTTTAGTACACAGTTTTCCATGGTGGCTGCTGTGTGCTGCGCCTGATTCATGGTCCACGTTGCTGTGCATCAGGCTCCTGCTTTAGCAGGACTCATTGGCTTTTCATTTTTTTTTTTTTTTTTAATTTGAGACAGGGTCTCAAATGGCCCAGTCTGGCCTCTAGTTGGCTCTGTAGCTGAAACTAGTCTTGAACTCTTGATTCTCGTGCCAGCACCTCCTGAAGCTGGGATTGCAGCTGTGTGCCTCTATACCTGGTTCTCACAGATGATTTTATTTGAGTTTTTAGTTAACTAATATATAAGACATTTTCCTTTGCCGCTTTTTGTCATTCATATGTTCTTCTGTGAGGCATCTGTTCAAAGTTTTTGTCATTTTATTGAGTTTTTATTATATAATTAATTTTTGGTTCAATCCACATAAATCTTAATTATATGCCTATGTAATGTATATATGTGATATATATTGTGTATATGTTCTCAGTTGTTTATTTTATTTTACTTTTTGTTCACAAGTGTTTTCTTTGAGTCTGCCATTTATTCCTTTTCCTGACACGTGAAAGGAGTGAGGGAAACTTCAGTTTTGAAGTCCATTGCGTCAGTTCTTTTTCCTTTTTTAAATGATTTGCATACGACCCAAGTTTGCAAAGAATTTCTGTTTTCCTCCAGATCTTTTGTAGTTTTAGGTAGTATTGTACTGAGGATCTGTTGTTACTTTTTGTTTATAATGTGAGGTATAGGCTGTGCCTTTCTCTGCCTACTTTCTTTTACTTATGCACACATTTGGCAGCATCTGGGAGAATCTTTCTTACTGTCCTTCAGCAAGATATTTTTTGGCACTATTGTGAGTATGTGTGGCTCCGTTTCTTTCTGGTCATTCTGTTCTGTTCTCCATATCATTCTGTGTATCTCTCTTTTGGTGCAAACCACTCTGCAGTGTAGTTTTGTAGTGTGTCTTGAAATCAGGAAGACTGAATTCTCCAGCTTGGTTATTTTTCAGATTGTTTCAGATATTATAGCTCCTTTTCTTCCTGTGTAATTTTTAGAGGCAGCTTAGAGGCACGCTTCTCCAGAACAGGGTGGGGATTTGGTTAGGACTGCATTTAAGTTATAAATCACTTTGGGGTGACTGGCATCTTAGGTGTCTTGTAATTTGCTAGTTGATGCTTCTGCTTACCCAGAACATAGGTTTCTCCTACTGTTTTTCAGCTTTTAGCATAAACATCTTATTCCTGTTTCGTTACATTTGTATGTTTGTTTGTTTGGTGCTATCATAAATAGTCTCTGTGGACTTACACGTTTCTAATTATTGCTATACATATGTTGATGTTTACATGTTCTTGAATCCTACAGTATTGTTCAACTTACTTATTAATACTTGTGACTTTTGTGGACTCCTTGGGATTTTCTGCATATTCCTGTATTCCACCCATAGAGGCAGTTTTATTTCATATTTTCCCGACTGTTTGCATTTTCCTGTCTCATTGCACTGGCTAAGACTTCTAGTTATGTTGAAGAAGTAGTCACAGGAGACATTAGTTACTAATAATTTACATTAAAGAAAGCATGTAGTCATTTATTTATTTACCATTTTGATCAGATTGAGGAAGTTATCTTTGACTCCTGGTTTGCTTAGAGCTTTTAAATTTCAGTCATAAATCACTGTTATATTGCTTTATCTCATTGTAGAAATCATTAGTTAAGGTAGAAAATTATCCCTGCTATTATTCTGAGATGGGTGCTGCTTACATTTTGGTGCCTCCTCATGTCGCTTTTCATTGGGAAGTTTATTAGGCAAAATTATAAATACTTTATATGTAATCCCTTTTTTGAAGTATTACAGTATGAGTAACAATATATCTGGGGGATTTTGTAACTTGATTGCAACGGCTTTGGGCTAGTGTCATACTCTATGTTCACATTTCATTGTTTTCTTATTGTCAGTACAATTATAATTTATCCCATTGGAATTAACATCAAGTTGGTTTTTCTCTTTTATTAAAATACAATTTCTATGAACTCTTTGAAAGTATATCTATAAGAATTTTGAGGTTGCCAGTTTTGATGGCTTTGTCTGGTAAGTCTAGGGTGTATGTCTTTATTTATGCTGATGCTGCCCTCCGCATCCGTCTGTATGCACTGTCCTGTGTTTCTTATGCACTGCACTTCATTATTTATTGTTTGTCTCAGCTCTTTTATTAAAAACTGGATGTGTAAAAATATATTAAATGAGCTCTTTGGGTATTTGCCCTTTCTCTTCCCTGGATTTGGTCTTGTTGCTTTTTGTTTGTGTATTAGTTCTTGGTATATTATGTAAGCTCTGTCTTTTATGTGTGGCCACTGAAGTCTGCGTAAATTATTGGCCACATACAATTATTTTCATTAATGCATAGAACTAACACATCTAGTCTTTGCCAAGGATCCCTGAATGATGGTGCACGCCCGCAGTGCTCCTGGGAGCACTGTGTAACTGCCTTATCCTGCATTTGCTGCTTGTGCAGAGCAGAGGCAGTCTTAGGGCCGTCTTAGGTCTCTCTCCAGCCTGTGCACACACACAAGACCCTGAACATCTACACAGCTTTATGAACAAACTGGGCTTTTTAGATTTTCAGGAAAATATTGGATCTTTTAAAAATTACACATGAACATGTTATTCCTCCACTTCTTATCTTTATATGTAGCTTGTGTGTGTAACTGTCACCACCGCCTCTGGCAGCTGAGTTTTAAGAAGGTTGGCCCTGTTTGTTTTTGGCAGAGGCCGTTCTGGTGAAAGGTGGCTATCCTGGCAACCTGAGTCAGATCAAATGCAGATAAGCACAGGGGCAGCATTTCCAGGGAACAGCTGGACAGGTCAAGAATGGCAGCTTCTGAGAATGGACCTTCAGAAGAGTTCCTGGGTGGCCCCCGGCCGCTGGGGTTCCTGTGCTTTGAACCTGTTGGATTTTTCAGGTCACCAGTGCTGGGGAGAGCAGGATGAGGGTAGGAGGGACTGAATTGTCTCAGAGCCTCTGTTCTTCCTGACAGTGATGCTCCCTGGTTATTGCAAACCTTTGGTTAATTTTGAGTTAGGAGAAAGTTGACTGGCAGTTTTTGCCACTGTTGTTCAAGTACTGTGAAGTTTTTGGAGTTCCTCTGGTAGTCTTCCTCCTTCCGCTGTGGGGTAACATTTGAATGGTCCAAATTCTTAGTGTTGATTTACCAGTCATATTCTCCCATTTTCTTCGTCAACTATGTATATTTCAGCTTTGTGGAAGAAATCATTTGTGGGTTATTCAAATTCAGATACGTAAAAATTTCCCTTGTGTATTAAAACCACTTATTTGGCATTATTAGTTATTGTCTTAAGTGCTGTGAGATGAGTCCACAGGATAAAACCTAGAATCAGCTCCCACCTTTAGCAAGGTGGCTCCAGAGTAGTGGAAAGATTAGTCCTTAGCTGAGTGAGAAGTAGATCAGATGAGGCAGTACAGAAACACTGTTAGCTATAATAAACACTGTATCCTAGACAAGAGTCACCAGCTAGTAGATCACACTGTTTCTGTGTAGCTCAGTTAGCTTACACAGATGTTACTACAGTTTCAGGTTTGTGGATTGCAGAGTCATTGTGTACAAAGGAAAAGTAGAAAACAAAACAAACCATTTATTGAATTGGGTCCTATGCCTGAATGTATTGCTTATGGGAAGTTGGATTTCCTGCAAAAGGACTTTCCCAGTAAAAGACAACCAGAGCACATTTCCCCCCTTGATTTGCTGAATATATCTAGGTGTATTTTTGTATATTTCCATGTTTTGGTCGCTGAAGGTAACATTTTTTCCCATTTGATAGAATGTTCCTGTCTTGTAGTAGAATCTGAGTGTCATAGCTGAGCGTAGAGTAGATGAATCTACTGTTGCAGAAGGGGTTCCTGCCTGCAGACCCTTGATATGAAGGTGGGTCTGTCCACTGTGCATGTCTGCGACCTTTTGTGTGATCATCTTCATCACTGAGGCAGACTTGAATGGTCTGCAGATGTGGTTAAGAGATGCGTCCCGACATGCATTTCCTTATTTACAGATTGAATCGACAGCTCTTGGGACCATCACAAGCTCAGAATTTCACAGTCCTCCAGAGCTGACGGATACAGAGGACCTGTGTACCTGACTTGTTTTCACAAGAGAGACTTAGGTAGCCCCAAAGTGCGCCCTTTTTGTTCCTTCAACCATGTAGTTCGGGGCTAGGTT